GGCGGGCGGTGTGCGGGCAGCGGCGACGGGCAGCGGCGACGGGCAGGTGCTGATGATGGGTAATGGAAGTGATTTCTGCTCACAGGGTACTCATTCCCTTTATCATCAGCTGTCCCAATGAGCATGACTGCACACACGATGAGCAGAGGTGCTCTCACGTCCCGCACACCATCCGGAGCATTGAGCGGGCTGCCGGATGGTGGGCAAACAGGTGGCGGGCGGCGGGCAGGCGGGCGGCGGCAGCGGGCGGGTGGTGGCGGCGGGCCAGAGCCTGATTGGCTGGCCATAGTGCACTCTAGTGCTGCGGATATGTATTTTATTCAGTATCCATGGCTATAACCTATAGCTTTACTGTCTGACTAAGCTGGTAGGGTAGTATTTTTACACAGTTCTGATTCTACCTCCGCGTCCGTGCGTCCGTACGGATCATCTACGCCTAGCGTCCATGACCGTGCATCCGACCGCACAGTACAGTACCTATACCATTTATAGCCTGCTGCGGGTGCGGGTATCCATATTCATGCTGGGGCTGCCATACCAGTACCCTGTACTGCCGACATCCGCATCGAATATAATATACCTCCGTGCACCCCTCCACAATTAGCGGTTAATGACTGGGAATCTCGGGCCTAACAAGGCCTTTAATGAGCAGGGCTCTCGGGTCTAGGTGGCTAAACCATATGGACTAGCTTTGTACATCAGTAAGATACATTGTCTGTCTAAAGTAGCTTCTCGTGGCTCCCCTGTATTCTCCTAGCCGCACAGTCAAAGAATAACGTATTTCACAGTAACAACTGTTACGAAGGCGAACTATCGACTTCATTACTGGTGAGTTGCAACGGAGCTTACTCATTGAGTGCGACACTGACAAAGGTTCTCGGGACTTCGACATTAATGAATCATTTTACAGGACGCAGATATATTACTGGAAAGCGCAGCCCCCCCGAGTCGAAGTTTGGTGTCGAGAGACCGAGCCTTGTGTGTCGTGATCCGACAGAGTCTCCGCGGCGGAGGTCTGCGAGTGGGCTGAGCGCGGAGTCTCAGCAAGTCAATTCTTCGCTAGCGAGTCCACCAAGGTCTGGGCTTCTTCAGCTTGCATCAATCAGATCCTCAATGCAAGTTCCGAAGCAAACGAAAGGCAAATGATTTTTCTTTGTACTGAGAGACGATAGTAAAATATGATACTTGATATATATACTTGATATAATCATATAGTTCAGTTTTCAGGAGTGTGCCGTCATTCTTTGCCCAATCACGGCATTTGCCTCTGAAGGTGACATTTTGGTGTGAATTGATTTCTCATCGTTGTTGGGCAAGCGGGCCTGGCGGACCTTCGGATACCAATTTCAAACATCTTCAAGTGCATGCTCATCCATTTGCCAAGCCGCGCCCCGCGTTTTGAGGTCGGAGGTGCCGAGGGCGGCATTTCGGCGCGAATCGATTGCTAGGGCATACAGTACAGGCGGGCCTGGCGGACCTTTGAATATCCATTTCGAACCTCCTGAGGCACATGCTCATATATTTGCTAAGCCCCGCCCCGCATTTTGAGGTCGGAGGTGCCGAGGGCGGGATTTTGGCGCGAATCGATTGCAAGGTCGTACAGTACAGGCGGGACTGGCGGCTACAGCTTATAGTGTCCAGAATGTCTGTGCGACTCTCCAGGTAAACCAGGAGGGGCGGGGGTGCAATGTGCCGTTCTCCACGACGAGAACAACGACGACGGGGCCTCCGGCAGCATTGAGCAGGGTGCTTGATGGTGGGCGGAGGTCCGGGCCAGCCAGGCTCGATGTCGGAGATGGCAGGTCGAAGGTCCGGCACGGCGGGGGTCCGGACACACCAGGGTCCGCCCCACCTGTCTATCTCCGTAGGCTGTAGCACTACATTAGCCCTATCTCCGCCATGATCCGGATTGGGAAAATCATTTAATTATATTGCTTTGGCTGGAGAGTTCGGCCGACATTAAATGAACCTGATTCCTGACCCTAATCGGCCTTTGATTAATCCCATCTCCCGACCCTGACTTGCTACACTGTGTGGGATCTAGCGATCTAATCATTGCCAGATGAGATCACATAGTTAGTATATCATATATGCACTCAGTTATCACTTTGGTGCAAGTCATTTCCTATCCTATCAATGGCTACAGCCAATACTCTTGTGATCTGAATGGTCTGGGATGGCAGTGTCGGCATGTATGTCATGGATTGCTAGAAGTCCGGCAGCATTGGCAGCATCTGCACTCATGAACTTGCATTGACAGTATAGAACATAGCTTGTCTGATCACTTGCACTACTGCTAGAACTGATTGTCTACTCCTGCTAACCATACAGCAACCAACTATGTAGCTATCAATCATGTAGCTGTCAATCATGTAGCTGCCGACCCTATCACTGCTGCCGACTCTGTCGCTGCTGCCGACTCTGTCGCTGCTGCTGGCCCTGCCACTGCTGCCGACCCTGTAGCAGGTGCCAACCCTGTAGCTGTTGATTATGCAGCTGCTGGCCATATAGAGCAGCTACTGCCGACAATGTAGAGCTGTAGGTGCTGACATGTTAGAGCGGCATCTGTCGATTCCATAGAGTAGTGGGTGCCGATCCCATAGAGTAGCAGGTGCCAATCTCATGAAGTAGCAGGTGCCGACACCATAGAGCAGCTGCTGCCGACATCATAGAGCAGCTGCCGATGTTTTCAGGCTACAGCTGCCAGTCTCATACCTCAACTGCTGCCAACCATGTAAAGTGGCATTTGATCATATAGCCATGGACAATAGAGAGCAGAAACCACCAGTAATGAAGAGTAGCTACTGCTGACAGTGTAGAGAAGCTGCTGCCGATGATTTAGAGCAGCTGCCGACGTTTTGGAGCTAGAGCTGCCGACGTTTGTGGGCTAGAGCTGCCGACGTTTGTGGGCTAGAGCTGCCGATCCCATATAGACAGCTGCTACCAACCATAGAGAGCAGGTTCTAGTCATATAGCTATTGGCAATGTAGAGAGGCTACTACCCACAATAAAGAATGACTACTGTCAATGTTATAGACCTGCTGCCGACGTTTTGAAGCTGCAGCTGCCGATCCCAGATCTACAGCCACTGATTCGCCAGAACAAACAGCTAATACTGAGGGAATGGCTCGCTGTACTGCTAGACCTGCTTAATACTAGCTTCAGTCATGTCAAAGGTGGCTGTAGATGCTACAGAGGTACATGTAGGATCATTGGATACAGTACAACCGGCAGCACCTGCAGCATCGGCACCTAATTGACAGAGGTTTATTGGGATGCCGAACCTGCTGAACCTGTCGGACCTGCCGAACCTACCAGCACCTCTATATAATGTACTGTTTGTAGACTACCGATAGCCTATACTGCTACTAGTATAGTAAACACTGACAGTATATCAGTACACGCAGTATTTGAATATATTTTTTCGGCAGCATCGGCAGCATATTTTGGCCCCCACATTTGGCCTGCCGACTGCCGAAGGTGCCAGTACCCCCAGTATTGTATCATTCATGGTATACCAAAGCATATACCCATTNCCAATAGCATATACACCTATCCTACTACATTTGGTCTACCCCAGTACTTTATCTACCAAATCAGCACCGTCAGCACCGTCGGCCCCTGCCACTGCTCTAGGGACTTAGAGGCCGTGTCCGTGCGGATCCGCATCTCCGATCTCAACGATGCCGGACGGCATCCGCACTGCCGATGAAATCGCAGAGGTGCAGCGGAATTATATGGCAACAGCGGGTAAGCATGCACGCTCCACCTAGCATTCATTTCGTGTCAGTACTCATAACGTACAGTTGGGCATAATGATACAGACCTCGCCCTCGGAAGCATCCGTAAGACAAAGTGAGAAGTAACCAGTGAGCGCTCCCGCCCACCGTCGGCACATACACAACTGTGCCGGAGGATTTGTTAAAGCTTTGCGGAATGTGCTTTTGTTTGCGGCTGTCAACTCGAACCGTTAAACAGCTTCATCACTGCTCAAGTTGACGACAATCTTGACTTTCGGAGCGGGAGGGTCGGGGCTATCTGGACCCTTGGTCTCGAGCGTAGAGCATAAATTGTCGATGGTGTCGCTGTCCTCATGCAATGCATTCAGGCTCTTTTTGGTGCGTAAATCATCATACTCTTCCTAAGAAGTTATGAGAATCTACCTGCACAAAGCAGGATAGCGTGTCGAGATCATGACCTACCCTTAACTCCTCCTTCTGATCCAACAACCATTTCCGTACCTTTTGCCCGTTTAGAGCTTCCCAGATGTCGTCCTCGCAAATCTTTGCAAAACCTTTATTGGCAAGCACTGCCGTAGTGACAGCCATCTCGAGTGCCCGAGTGTATATTTGAGCAGCATGCGGATGAGCAGTACGACACTGATACAGCCAGATGAACAGTGTGTGTAGACGTAGATGCTGCATACCGAATGAGCATCTGTGATACTGAGGCACAAGCATGGCAGTACGCACCCATTCTGTCGAGTTCTCTTCTACAATGCTTTTCTCTAAGGATTTACGTGCTTTCTTGATGCACTCTTGGGTGTGTTGAGACGACAAAGCACCATCCACAAAGACTCAGAAGGCGGCATCATCGAACCACATGTATATACACAAATCTTCTGGCCAGTCGTGCTGTGTGTCATTGTAGAGGATGTTGGGCGTAAAATTTGATGTGTCCATAGCAAGAATCAAAGGTGATGAAAATGACGAGAGGCAAAGGCAAGAAGCGTGTCGAGACACACAGCCTGCCCTGACTTCGAGGACTTCAGGACCCTCATCACCCACCTCAGGTTACACCACTAAGGGCCGACCACCATACACTCCTTGACTCTGATCAATGTTTAACGCCGTTGGCGCTCTTCTCAGTACACATAGTAACACATCACGGCATCTTTGTATGCATGGAATGCACAGTATTGAGTTATGTATGTATAATAGCATGCAACACAGTAGAACAGATAAAGCAGGTGTCTACAATGACTCCTGCTGCATAGCAGCCTCGTTCAGCGCCTTTGTCTCTATCATGAGCTGCTGCTCAAGGATAGCAACTCTCTGCTCAGCATCATTCTTCTCGCGCTCGAGCTCAGCGTACAACGACTGCAACGACTTCTCCTTCTGCTGAAGCCTCTCAGCATCCTCACGCAGTGTGGCGACACGTGCAGGACCTGCAGCGTCTTTGCGAGCCTTGAGGCACAAGAAGCTGGATTTGTCAATAGACTCGTCCACGAAGGCATTGTGTGTTACGGACACCCGATTATCCATTATCTTTTTCCTTTTCTTTTTCCTTTTCCAGACTCTCACGTGACGCGGCAATCCCTGTGACTCACGCTCGACTCATCTAGTTCTCGCGCCTTGTTTACGGTTGTTTGCCTCGTCATATCTATATAAGACTCCGCCCCTGCTTGTAACTTACTCTTAACCTTGATCTAGTCTATA